TGCAGGAGTTTCAAATATTCCCATGATCTGCGTACCAGAAAGTGTTTTGGGGAAAAGTTCAGGATTATGCGGGTGCAGCAATTATGTTGATTCGCGGTGTTGAAATCCCCCAAATGGCTTTATGGCACGATTCTGGATCGTCAAGCAGCAGCAGTCAGGTTGTTCCGTGGCGTTGGAATCCCGAGAACAATGTTTTGGCATGTTTCAGGATCTTCAAACGGTTGCCTTCCAACGAGGCAGTTCCGTCAATGGAAATTAACCGTTGTATGGGGCCAATGAAGAGGGAGCTGGGAAGAAAGGTTAATTCCAACATCGTTGATGACTCTTGGGTTTACGCTGGTCGTCGTCGTCCTCCTCCTCCTCGAGAACAGTGGAGACCCATGCCAAGAAACACCCTGCTCGCTTCCAGGGTGCCCTGGGTGTCTTGGATTTCGATGGTTTTGCGATGAATAGCGTGACGTTCCCACACCCAAAATCAATCGACGTCCTGGGGTCTCAGGGTTGAGTTTGTTGTGGAAGGTTTCTTGTGGATTGACCTCCACTGTAGGGGATCGACTGCGGAATGGATTTACCCCCGAAGTTGATTTCCCGTCGACTCTACAACAAAAGGTCATCGAAAGCCCGTAGATCTACGGAGCATGCTGTGTATTTTTCGCAGACTCGACGGACAGACTAGTTGGGGGGCAAATCAATGTTGTAGTCGATCCTCTACTAGAGGACTGGCTTTTCATCCTGAGTCGCTCTTTGACGGTCCCGGGGCCCGGCGAGGGCCCCCCGAGGCCGAAAATAGGGAAACGCCGATGGCCAAAACAAATGCGTGTACGTACACTCGCGGAGGCCCGTGCGGATTTCTTGGATCGGCGTTGGCCCCCCTCCTTGGCTCGCGGAGGCGCCGCCTGGGCCGGGGGCCCCAGCGCGGATCCAAGAAATCCGCGCGGAGCTCCGACGGTTCATGTTTGTGCAGCTTGTTTGGTCCTCGATCTGACCGTCTCGAGACGTTGGAGGTCCGGGAGGAGCGCGCCGCCAGCGCCGAGCGCGCTTCGAGCACCGAGCGCGCCGCCAGCGCCGAGCGCGGTGGCTCGGCGGGCGGCGCCGGCGAGGCGCAGAGCGCCGAGGCGGTCGCCGTCGTCGTCGTCGACGCCGCCGTCGTCGTCGTCGCCGTCGTCGTAGTCATCGTTGTCTGGGGGAGGGGGGGGGGATGGCGGAGGCCCGGAGGCCCGGGAGGCGGAGGAGGAAGGAGGAGGAGGGGGGAGGAGGAGGAGGAGGAGAGGAGGAGTGAGGAGGAGGAGGAGGAAGAGAGGAGGCGGAGGAGGAGGGGAGGAGGAGGGAGGAGGAGAGGAGGAAGCGAGGAGGAGGGTGAGGGGGAGGAGGGTGAGGGGAGGAGGGTGAGGGTGAGGGGGAGGAGGTAGGGGGGGGAGGAGGAGGAGGAGGAGGAGGAGAGGACGGAGAGGAGGAGGAGGAGGATGAGGAGGAGGAGGAGGAGGACGCCGTCGTCGTCGTCGTCGTCGTCGTCGTCGCCGTGAGCGACGAGGCCGGCGCCGCGCGGGCGCCGGAGGACGCCTCCGCGGCGCTGCGCGCGCTGCTGGGCCTCCCCGCCGGGCCCGCGCCGCGGGCCGAGGCGGAAGAAGAGGCCAGGCCTCCGGCGACGTTCGGTCGATTGATCGGGGAGGAGGAGGAGGAGGAGGAGGAGGAGGAGGAGGAGGAGAAGGAGATGAAGGAGGAGGAGGAGGAGGAGCACGAGGCGGATTGTTCCCGGGCCTAAGGAGAGGGTGGCGGTGTACAAATCACCACTGCGGGCCAGCGATCTTACACACCGCTGCTACCCCTAAGGCACATGTAAAACCAGTCGGCGGGTGTCCGTGTATATACAGTAGTCACATCATACGATAAGAAGTCTTGCTGCAAGAAATCGTGGGGCATGTTCTTAGGCGACCTTTGAGCGCCCCATGGTGCTCCAGAGCTTCTGCGGGTCCCAAAGCCGTCGGGGGATCAGAGAGTTCTGCGGGGCACCTGGCGGGCAGGTTTCTAATTTGGCGTGCTGGCTCTGGATCAACCGTACATTTTGGTCGGTTCTCCGACTTCGAATTCTGTCGAAATGCACCCCAGATGGTGTGAAAAAGTAGGGGGCGGCGATTTCCGCCTCAGAAAAGGTCCTGCGGATGCAGCGACGGCAAAGTAAGGCAGAAATCGGCATCAGAGGAGCTTGAAACGCAGGGCGCAAAGCTCTGCCCCACTCACGACATCGCCCAGAGTACGGCGGCTCCGGAGTCAGGGCAGATCTTCGTGGCGTGCGTGGGGCCGCGCACCTCAGACCCCCGACCTCGTGCTTTCTCCGCAACGTCGACACATCTCCCTCCTCCTCCTCCTCCTCCTCCTTCCCCTCCTCCTCCTCCTCCTCCTCCTCCACTCCCCTCCTCCCCTCCCCCCCTCCCCCATCCCCCTCCCCCCTCCCCCTCCCCCCCCCCCCCCCCCCCTCCTCCTCCTCCTCCTCCTCCTCCTCCTCTCCTCCTCCTCCTCCTCCTCCTCCTCCTCCTCCTCCTCCTCACAGGATCGCCGTCTCCTCCTGCACGAGTCGTTCCTTGCTTGCCTGGCCCGCGGGCCGGAGACGGCCCCTGCAGAGGCCCCAAGTACATATGGCAGAATGCCCGCCGTGCTTTTCTCACGACGCGAGGGCCTGGCACCTGGCATCGCTCGGACGTGTGCATTTTGTGTTTCTCGGCGAGAACCATCGAGGACCATCCTGGACCATCGAGCAACAAAAACCACGCACGAAACCGAAAAATGCACAGGGAATGGACGTCCGAGCGATGGCGAGCAGGGGGCCTGGGATGGGAGCCTCCACGCCGTCGGATGTCTCGCTGTCGGCGGGCGCCCTCGCCCTCGGAGGCCGAGCGCTCCCGCGAGGCCCCCGGCCCGCTGCCGCAGCGGCCCGACGAGGACGGCCGCCAGGCGGGCCTCCGGCTGCTGCGGGCCGTGCAGCGCGGGGGCGCCCGCGCCGCCGCCGCCGCCCCGCCGCCGGAGGCCGCCTCCGCGGCCGGCGGCGCCGCCGCGGCGGCCTCCGAGGGCGAGGGCGCCGCCCCGGCTGCCGCGGCGGAGGCCGCGAGCCCGGCTGCCGCGGCAGAGGGCGAGGGCGCCGCCCGGGCTGCCGCGGCGGAGGCCGCGAGCCTGCTGGCGCGCACCCCGCGGGACGCCGCCGGGCGGGACAGCGAGCCGGAGCCGGCGGACGAGTTCCGCGTGGTCGGCAGCGCGGGCTCCACGACCGCGGGGGGCCGCCCGGGGGGGGGCAGCAACTGTCGGCCACGCGCAGAGGGGGGGGGGGGAGGGGGGGGGAGGGCTTCTTATAGAAGCCCCCTGCTTCGTAGAAGGCGCGCGCCTTACCCAGACATCCGGCGTCTCGAGTTTTTTCGAGGCGCGGGCCCCCAACCTCTCGACCGCTTTCCCGGGACCGGTTTTTCATCCCGAGTCGTTTTTTGACGGTCCCGAGGCCCGGCAAGGGCCCCGAGAGGCCGAAAACGATGAAAAAAATCCGTCTCGATTCTTTTTCGAGACGCCAGATGTCTGGGTATCTGTAGATGCAGGGCCGCCGCCTTCTAAGAAGCAGCCTCCTTCTATAGAAGAAGCCCTCCCCCCTCCCTCCACCCCCCTTGTGCGCGTCGCCAAAACTGCACACGCGCTCACGACGGTCCTGGCCAGGCCTGCCGGGGGCCCAGCGAGCGGCGTCATGAGACAGACGTGCACAGTGATCATGTCTAATTCGTCGAAAGCCCTTTGGTTTTTAAGGGGGCCAATATCCTTTCATTTCCAATAAGCCCTTTGGTTTTTAAGGGGGCCAAGATCATTTCATTTCCAATTGTTCTGTCCTGGGCCTCTTCCTGGCCACGGCCAGGAACAATTATACAATTAGAAGTGAGCACGGTTAGACATGAACGACGTGTATGTGTGCGCCTTCGCTGCCCGGACCCGGAGGGCGTGTACACCTGGCCTAGGGCCGGGGATGCGCCCCAGACCCCCGACGTCGTGATTTTTTGACAACGTCGACCCCCAGAGGTCTGGGCCTCAGTATCGTTTCACCGACCCCCGTCCCCGTCCTCATCCCCTTCGAGATCCCCACCAAATTACCACCCCAGTTGGGGCTACACCCCTCGAAACCCGAAGGGGACGGCCTGTATCCCCATCTAGGGAGGTTAATCGGCCAGTGGGGCCCAGGCCACGCCGCTGGGGATGGGGGTCAGATAAACGATGCTCAGGGCCTCTTCCCCGGGACTGTTTTTTCGTCCTGGGTTGTTTTTTGACGGCCCCGAGGCCCGGGAAGGGCCCCCGGAGGCCGAAAATATGGAAGAAACGCCCGTCGTGATTTGTTCACAGCGCGAGGAGGTTCGGGGGCCAGGGTCGGTGTGTGTGTGTGTACACGCCCTCCTGCCCAGGCCAGCCCTGCAGGGCGTGGCCACCTGGTCCCGGCATCCGGGATGGGCCTGGCCAGGGTCGGTGCAGGTGCAGACTCGGCGTCCTCCCAGGCAGCACGGGCTCCACGCCGAAGTGGCCGCCGCCCGACCTGGAGCACCTGGAGCCGGAGAAGCTGGAGAGGGCAGCTCTGGTAGCGAATCATGGGAGCCTTGTGTACCCTTAGCGTCGACTAGCGTCGATTAGCGTCTGGTAATCGATGAGATAGTGTCGATGAGCGTCGATTTAGCGTTGATTTAGCGTTGATTTAGCGTCGATTCGCGTCGACTTAGCGCCGACTAGCGTCGCTGGGCGTCGACTCGCAAGAGTCAACAATATGCTATATGGGAGACCCCCGTGAGCTGCCGCAGAAGGCGGCGCAGCTGCTGTTCGACGCGCTGTCCCCAGCGGCGGCGGCGCCGAGCAGCTCCAGCGCTGCCCTTGCGCAGCCGGCGGCCGGGCAGCGCGAGCCCCCGCCGCCGCTCGCCGGCAGCGGGGCGAGCTCCAACAGCGGCGAGGAGCCGGGCTGCGTCGAGACTATCTCCGGGGGCTGCTGAGAGCCCAGAGGCCCGACGCGTGGAGCAAAGACAAGGCGGAGGCTCTGCGTAGTTCTCGGCCTCTGCGTGCCACCGCGGGCCCCGGGGCCGTCCCGAAAGGACTGAGGATGCAGAGCGCCTGTCCTGGGGAAGGGGCCCAGACTTCCGGGGACCGCGCATGGAAGACAGCACTTCGTGAAAAAGCACGAGGGGGTTTTGTTCGCCGTTTTAGGGCCAGGGGGCACTCACGGGGCCCCAGGACCATCAAGAAATTGGTTCGGGATTTGTTTAACAGTTAAAACAAAAAAACAAAAAAACAGCCCGTGGGGGAACGGTCGGGGCTCCCGGGGACCGCACCTTGAGCAAAGCAAGACACCGGATGCCTGGGCCCAGGGTGCCCACAGCTTGTCTCCCTCTCGGCGCACCCTGGGCCAGGGGCTGAGCTCGCACCCGACCGGACCCGGGCCCGGCCCACCTCGGCCCCAGGCCCCCCCCTGCTGCGCGGCGAGCTCGGGCCAGTTGGCTCCGGCCCGAGCTCGGTCGGATATCCGACTTTCCGGCCCGGCCCGGCTCTGGTCGCGGCGGGTCCGAGTTTTTGGTCCCTGCCCGTGGCCCCCTCGGCCCTCGTGAGGGGGTGCCGTGGAGGCCGTGGGGGCCAGGGGCCCAGACCTCCTCGCGCTGTGGAAGAGAGCACGACGGGAGGCTGCTCGCCTCTTTCGGCCTCCGGGGACCCTTCCCGGGCCTCGGGGCCGTCAAAGAACTGCCCAGGACGAAGCACAGGGAGCACGACGGGAGGTTCTTCTAGTTAGTGTAGTGCATTGTTGGCCTCCGGGGGCCCTTCCTGGCCGTCAGAAAACGACTCATCAGGATAAAAAACCAGTCCCGAGGAAAGGGTCCAGACCCCCGGGGGTCGACGTTGTGAAAAAATAGCGACGGGCGGAATTCCATATTTTCGGCCTCGCGGGGTCCTTCCCGGGCTTCGGGGCCGTCGAAAAAACGACCCAGGATGAAAAACCGGTCCAGGGAAAGGGTCCAGACCTCTGGGGGTCGACGTTGTGAAGAAATGACGACGTCGGGGTCTGGGGACGCTTCTGGCAGCGCCCGGGCATCTGGCAGCCGCTGCCCCAGCGGTGGCCCGCGCTGCCGGCTTTCCCGCTGGTGGTGCATTGGCACCCCAACGACCCCGTGAACCAGATGCTGCTCGATCAGGTGAGCGGCGGAAGAACAATCAGCACCGTTGAACCTATCCACATCCCCACTGGGCCACAGTATCTCAGCCCCACCGTCCCACCACCCCTGTTGGGGATGATATCCCTCGAAACCCGAAGGGAGCAGCCTACATCCCCATCAGGGGGGGAAGTCGGCCAGTGGGGCCCAGGCGACGCCGGTGGGGATAGGGATCGGCTAAACGATGCTCAGAAAAACGGGCTCGACTGCGAGGACATTCGAGCGAAAGCTTCCCGCACAAGGTCGCGCGTAAGCGCCCTCGTTTCCAATGTAGCGTGCCACGCCAGCAGCCCGCGTAAGTAGCGGCGTGATATCGCTATGTCATCGTGCGTTAGCACGTTTCTTTTCGTCGCTCAGGTGTCGACGATAGTGGGTTTCCACCTCGCGATGTCCGACCTGCAGGAGTCGAGAAAGAAACAATGGCATGGGCATAAGCTCTCGGAGGTCCGCGCGGACTGCTTGGATCGGCACTGGACTCCCCTCCCTGGCAGGGCCGTGCTCACCTCGCTGATCCTGGCAGTACAGAAAGCGTCATACTCGACGATCTTGCGGTGGGGCGGCGCCGGAGGCGCCGCCAGGGCGCCCAGCATTGATCTGAGACATCCGTCCGTGCCTTACTTTGCATCCTCGGGGGACCCCCCCTGCCCTGCAAGTGGCGATCTCTTCTCGTAATACCTCTGGCGTGGGTTCGACGCGGACTCGACATGGATTCGACACGGATGCGACACAGATTCGGCACGGGTTCGACGTGGATCGCGGCGCGACGGGACAGACAGGGCCCCCCCGAAGATGCAACGCAGCGTGCCGACCTCCGAAAGTTTGCGTGTATGCCGGTGTTTCTTCCGAGGAGGGCTCCTTTTTCCGCAGCCAGACGTCGAGCGGAGGCTGGGTGAAGCTCCATGCGCTCCAGGCTCTGTACCACGTGCGGACGCTGGGAGCCAACCTGTGGACTCTGCAGCGGGCCGTCGCCTGTAACTCCACGCTGGAGCTGGACGCGTCCCGCCGCTTCGTCCGGCTCGCCGGGCGCAGGTGCTGCGAGGAGGAGAAGCGACACCACCAGCATAAAGGGGGGGTGCCACCTCCCGCGAGGAGGAGGTCCGCGATGCCTCCCCGAACGAGGGATCGGGGATGCCTCGAGCGAGAGATGGGGACCACACCACCAGGGGCCCCCCTGGGGCTCCTCGCGCTGGTGGTCCCTGGTGGTGGTGGTGGTGGTGGTGGTGGTGGTGGTGGTGGTGGTGGTGGTGGTGGTGGTGGTGGTGGTGGTGGTGGTGGTGTCGCTTTTCCTTTTTCCTAAGGTGCTGTGACGAGGACGAGCCCGCTCCGTGGCAGTGACGCCAATCGAGCCGCTGGCCGCACTGGCTCGGCGCACCTTAGCGTAGTGGAGAAGCCTTACGGTCCGTTCCGCCGACCCTGAAGGGGGATCTCAGGGGAGGGAAAGGTACCGATGACGCACCCTTGCCTCGTTTTCGCCTTCTTGGGCCTCCCGGGAGGCCCTTGTCGCCACGGCTGGATTCGCCTCGAAGTCTGGGTCAGAACGTACGTGAACGCACCCGGGGAGAAGTCTGGGGAGTGCCAGTACCGGTATTGTCCGGTTTCCCCCGGATCAGAGGGGCCTCCAGAGCCTTTCGAGGTTGGAGAAGAGACAGAGCATTGTGCCTCCTCTGTCTGGGGAGTTTCTCCGAAGGGCTTAGGCGACCCGTCCTCCTCCTCCTCCTCCTCCTCCCCTCCCTCTCCTCCTCCTCCTTCTCCTCCTCCTCTCTCCTCCCCCCCCTCCCCCCTCCCTCCTCCGCTCCCTCCTCCTCCCTCCTCCTCCTCCTCCTCCTCCCCGTCCTCCTCCTCCTCCTCCTCCTCCTCCTCCTCCTCCCCCTCCTCCTCCCCCTCCTCGGGTCGTCTACGGCCCCGGGGGAAACCGTGCAGCCTCCAGAGCCTTTTGAGTTTAGAGAAGAGACAGAGCACCGTGCCACCTCTGTCTGGTGGCTTTCGGTCCATCCCGAGGCCTCCCGAATGCACAACTCAGGGCCTCTCCGGGTGCCTCTCGGGGGCCTCCTGGAGAGCTCCTGGGGACCTCTCGAGCGCCTCTTGCGGGCCTCTTGGGGGCTCTTGGGTCGGTATCGTTTAACCAATCCCCATCCCCATCCATCTCCTTCGAGACCCCCACCAAATTACCCCCCCAGTTGGGGATACACCCCTCGGAACCCGAAGGATACGGCCTATGTCCCCATCTAGAGGGGTAAATCGGCCAGTGGGGCCCAGGCCACGCCGCTGGGGATAGGGATCGGATAAACGATGCCCATCGGGGACCTCTTGGGGGCCTGCTGGCGGTCTCGGGGCGGATCTTGGGACAGAGGGCTCGAAGTGTCAGCTCTTGCGCGCCCTCTCGAGACCCTCTTTGGCTGCCCTGTGGGCCTCCTGGGCCAGGCTCCTCCCCGAGCACAAGTCGACAGCAGAAGTGGGCAATCAAATGGTTTTGGGTCCGACCCCTGCTCAGAGTGGTAAGGATGCCTCAAGCGAAACGGACCGAACCACCTCGCTCGCGGCATCTCGGAGCTCAGAATCGCGAGGATGTCTCAAGAGGAACGCGACGGACCACCTCTAACGCGGAGTCTGGGAGCTCAGAGGTGTGAGGATGTCTCAGGCGAAGCGCGCCAGACCACCTCTCGCGCGGCATCTGGGAACTCAGAGCTGGGAGGATGTCTCCAGCGAACCGGGCCGAACTCTTCGCGCGCGGCATCTCGCAGCTCAGAGAGGACAGGACGTCTCTTGCGAAACGGGCCAGGCCACCTCGCGCGCGACATCTCGGAGCTCAGAGTTGCGAGGATGTCTCAAGCGAAACGGGCCGGACCACCTCGCGGGCGGCATATCGCAGCTCAGAGTCAGCAGGACGTCTCTTGCGAAACGGGTTGGGCCACCTTGCGCGCGACATCTCGGAGCTCAGAGTTGCGAAGATGTCTCAGGCGAAACGCGCCGGACCACCTCGCGCGTAGCATTTTGGAGCCCAGAATTGTCAGGATGTCTCAGGCGGAACGGCCAATCCTGGCCAACTCAGTCGAGAGTTCTGCGGATGTCTCAGGCGAAGCGCGGCATCTCGGAGGTCTGAGTCGGCAGGACGTTTCAAGCGAAACGGGCCAGACCACCTCGCGCGCGGCAGCTTGGAGACCAGAGTTGCGAGGATGTTTCAGGCGAAACGCGCCGACACACCTCTCGCGCGGCATCTCGGAGCTCAAGGGTGTGATGATGTCTCAAGCGAAATGGGCCGGACTACCTCGCGCGCAGATCCTCCGAGTTCATAGCTGTGAGGGTGTTTCAGGCGAAACGGGCTGGACCACCTCTCGCCCGGCAGTTCGGAGCCCAGGTTGCGAGGATGTCTCAAGCGAAACGGGCCAGAGCACGTCGCGCGCGGCATCTCGGAACTTGGACTCGCCAGGATGTCTCCAGCGAAGCGGGCCAAACCACCTCTCGCGCGGCATCTCGGAGTTCAGAGTTGCAAGGATGTTTCAGACGAAACAAGCTGGAACATCTCTAGCGCAGCAGCTTAGAGCTCAGAGTTGCGAGGATGTCTCAGGCGAAGCGCGCCAGACCACATCTCGCGCGGCAGCTCGGAGCCCAGAAGTGTGAGGATGTCTCAGGCGAAGCGCGCCATACCACCTCGCGCGCAGCGTCTCGGAGCTCAGAGTTGCGAGGATGTCTCAGGCGAAACGCCCAATCCCGGCCAACTCAGAAACTCGAGTTGTGAGGATGTCTCAGGCGGAACAGACGGGACCACCACATGTTCTTGAGGATGTCTTTGCTCGCGCGTCCTCGACCACAAGTAATCGATTTCTACCACAACAGCTCCCCGTGCAGCAAGGTAATTAGTGAAAACGTGTGTCAAAACCAACCTAGATAATGTGTGCCTTTTGGGTCCCTCGTTGGGGTTCTCTTTTTCCCTCTTGGGCTGTCTTGGATGCATGTATGTCAGTCTTTTTGGGGCTATGCGGCTACCTTAGATGTCTTGGGTTTGAGTTGCCGGAAGAGAGCCAAACTGGTCTGAAGTGGTTTGAATATTATTACCCAAAAGGGGGAAGGGGGGCGGAGCGCATTCTGACACGGGATCCCCGGGACATCCGCCAGGACCCCCCTCCCCCGCGGCGGGGAAGGGATCAGAGGAACATGCCCTTCGACACAATTGCGACCTGGCCCGACCCACCTGAGGTTGGCGAGCCTTGGAGCGCCAAATGCGGCTGACGGGACGGGAGGGAAACTTCGCCTCAAAGAGCGTCTCGCAGGACCACCCCGGGACGACCCGCCTAGAACTCCTCCATCGATCCGACGTTTCGATTTTGTTTGTACGGGGTCCCCGGCGGTCTCAGGGCCAGCTTTGCATCCTGAGTCGCCGTTTGACGGCCTAGGTGCCTGGCGAGGGCCCCCAGAGGCCACGAACGCCGAAAAATCTTCCGTTTTTGATTGTGCTCGATGCGTTGGGGGCCCGAGCCCTCGCGCACGCCGACGGGGCTGGCGGAATTCTCCAAGAGCGCGCCCGATTTTTCCGGCGGCCTCGAGGGCAGCCGCGCCGCGGGCGCTCGCAGGCGGAGGTTGCGAGAACTTTCCTCCCTCCTTCGACCCTCCTCTCGCCTCCTCCTCCTTGCTCCTCCTCCTCCTGCCTCCTCCTCCTCCTCCTTGCTCATCCTCGTCCCTCCCTCCTCCTCCTCCTCCTCCTTCTTCCCCTCCTCCTCCTCCTCCTCCTTCTCCTCCTCCTCCTCCTCCTCCCTCCCTCGTCCGCTCTCCTCCTCCTCCTCCGCCTCTTCCTCCTCTTCCTCCTCCTCCTCCTTCATTGTTTCTCCTGATACGTATATGATTTTTCCCTGTCGCACCCCGCGGCCGTTCGAAAGGGCGGGCCAGGCGTTTCGCCTGACACTTCCTCACCAGCTATGACCCTGAAGGTTAAACATTTGCAACAGCTTCACAGATGGAGGGCGGGTGGTTCTGAAAATCTAGCTCTCGCCTTAGCGCCGCGCGCACTCGTTTTAAACAAATGCAAGAGCTTCACGGTTTGAGGGCGTGTGGTTTTCAAAGTGTGGTTCTCGCTTTAGCGCCGCGCACATTCGCTTCAAACGGTTGCAAGAATGTTGCAGATGGAAGGCGTGTCGTTTTCAACATGTGGCTGTTGTGTTAGCGCCGCGCACATTCGACTTAAAAGTTTGCAAGAGCTTCGCGGATCGAGGGTGGTTCTTTTTCAATAGGTGGTTCTCGCCTTAGCGCAACGCGTATTCTTTTTTAAATATTGCAGGAACTTCACGGATTCCCATGGCCAACGTACCAGACGTGGTGTTTTGGAAAGATTTAGGATTATGAGGGCGCCACAGTTACGTTGATTCGCGGTGTTGAAGTCCCAGGGATGGCGTTCTGGCGCGATTCAGGATCGTCGAGACGCAACAGTCAAGTTGATCCGTGGCGTCGGAGTCCCGAGAATAATATGCTTCAAACAGTTGCCTCCAACGAGGGGGCTCCCTCAGTGGAAATGAACCCTTGTGGGGGCATATGAAGAGGGAGTTTGGAGGGAGGGAGGGTTTATGCCAAAATACTTGATGACTCTTGGGTTTGCACTGGTCCTCCTCCTTTTCCTTTTCCTCCTCCTCCTCGTCCTCCTCCAGCTCCTTATTTGAGGATGTGGCGTGCGGTCGGCCAACTATTTGATTCTGCCTTTCTCGCAGTCGCACAATCTCCAGTATTTCGTTGATGGCCGCCTCATCCTGAAAGATGGTTTAGGCACCGTTTAAGGCTATAGCGCGCTTGGTTATCCTCCTCCTCCTGCTCCTCATTTATCATCATTGTTCGTCCTCCTCCCCCTCCTCCTCCTCCTCCTCCTCATCCTTCTCCTCCTCCTCCTCTCCTCCTCCTCCTCCTCTGCCTCCTCCCTGAGCCGCGCGGCCCGGGAGCAGCAATTCTGCGGCTGCGTGGACACCGGCTGGGGACAGGCTCCCCCAACCCTGAGGCCTAGCCTCCAGCCTACCCCAGCTGCAAACCGTCTTCCCGCACATCTCACACTCGATGTTGTCTCTTGTCTGGTCTGCGGCAGAAATTGCTGGACCACACGTGCGTGATTGGCGTCGTCGTGGTGACTGTGCGTGTCTACTTGTTCGGTGTCTTCTACGTCGGTGTCAGTGCGTTTGTGGCGCATCGCTGTGGCTGATTCATATTGATTGCTGCTGCGTTGCTCGAGGTGTGCCACAAAACTTGATATGATATGTTGTTGTTGCCGGTTTCATCCTTACCTGTGAGTCGAGTGGACTTGGTCTTTCTGTACTGGTCACGAGTGTACCTTCGGCATTCTTGTTGGATAAATGATATGTATGCGTGTTGTGTGCTGGAATCCATTGTCGGTGGCGGACATCGATAGGGAGGTCGAGAGAGACTTGGGGCACAAGCAAATCGACAATCTGATCTTGATTGCGACGCAGAGGAGGTGCTAGGATACAGTAGTCCCCATGTAGTGGAGGATATGCCGCATTTCAAAGCTGTACAGTGTGGCATGTGGATGTCTTTGTGTTCTAATCCGAGCGGTGGTGTGAGTTTTTACCTGAATAAGCAGACTGTGCAGACTGTGATATCGAAATCTGTCGTGAGAATATGGTTTGCCCCATGGGACATACGTGGGCGGGGGGCGGCGATCCGTATCAAATACCACTACAGATATGTGACGTGTACGGGCCTGCATTTCCCACCGCGCAGCAAGTACCCCAGAGAACATTTGAAGTTGCGTGGTACGATCGAGAAGGCGCAATCGTTTGCCCTGGGTGTGCTGTCGTTTCTACCATCGCGCACTGTACCCAGTGTCGCGGCAGACGTTAATAATGGATCCATACATGTGAGAAATCAATGCGGTACTGCAGCTGTGGCATCCGATGAAATTGACCCACACGGCAAGAGCGAGGAGCCTCATGCGGACACGTTGTTCAGAAAGATGGCTGGAGCACGCGAGATGTCTGTGGTCAACACGTTATTTGCTGGTGGGCCGTCGTAAGTTGGCGGTGGTCGTAGTGGTCGTAAACCAGCTGCGGGCGCGATGCTGGGGGGCTCCCATCATGTTCGTGGATCGATCATGTTATGTTATCGTCGTCGCTCTTGGGCATGGTGTACAAGCTCTCGCAGGCTATGAGGTCATCGAAAAAGGTTGCAATTTATTCCTGATAGCCGCCCGATGGACCACATTGCGCACGCCTTCGAGGTTCCGCTTCGCACATCGCATCAGCAAGAAGATCCACAGAGCCGGCGGGACTTCGCGGGGCTGGGACAAACACTCAGGTCATCACCTTTTGCCAACGAGTTTCGGCGACGGCTTGCGCATGATATAGAGTCACTACTTCGAGAAGTCGGGTTGTCCAGGCGGTGTGGGATCTGGTCCTGGACGCCCCTAGTCTCGAAGCTGCCTGGATGCAAGTGGTGGACCTCGCGCAGACAGAGGGCCTGGAGATGTCCGGAGCCCACCCGGGGGCCCTCCCAAATGCGTGCCACGCCCTGGCTGAAACAGGGTTGGTTCTTGTGAGATGATCACCGACCCTCGTGGCCACACTACGTCTTGCTCGCGCGACTAGGCGTTGTCGGCTTCTGCGCAGGCAGATTCGAGAGCAGAGAGCATGTACACCTAGCATGGAGGAGCGGGGCGAGGACCTCGCTGGGCCGTCGAGTCGCGGGGGATGGCCGCTCGTCAGATTGGGGAGGAGGTCTTCATGTCTCAGGCGTCGGTCGGTGATCGCAGGAGCCAGCTCGGCATTGCAGAAGTTGGTCTTGCTGAGGAAGACCTGGCCGACGGGTCGCTGTTCCTTGGAGTGCCCCTAACGAGATATGGGTTATTCTGCTTTCGAGGCGCCCTGGAGTTCGGAGGCGCGCGACGGGTCTCAGTGCTGAGCCCCCCTGGTGGGCTTGGAGAGATGTTCGGGGACTAGGCCTTGGGCGCACTGGCAAAAGTGGGACAGAATGGGAGACTGGTGGCGCGCTGGAACAAGTCGTTCACTCACCACTTTCTAAGGGAAGATGGGAAGCTACGGGCCCTGGGGGCCCATTTACAACATGGACCCAGCTCGAGGATGTGGGTAAAAACGGCCCGCAGGAGACCACGTTCCGTTCTTTGTTATGAGTACGGCTCTGTTCCGATGTGGTTTCGAAGTGGGGCTGTCAGGATTATGTTTGCCATCGCGTGGAGGGCTCAGAGGATGGCTGAGCGCCGCTGTGGCAAAACATGATGTGCTTAACGCGCGTGGCTCTGTTCTACATTCTTCTCTTCGGTGAGGCAGTTGGCCGCTTGCACGTTGAGGCTGATGCCCAAGTGCTCCGACAGCGCCATGGGCGTGCGCGATTCCAAGTGCAGGCTGACGGGCAGTCTCGCGTCTTCTCAAACTCCGATGTGTAACTGCATGGGGGGGGGGGTGCTAAAGCGACCGCGGTGTTTCGGCGCGCATTCGCTACCCTGATCCGCTCTGGGCCCCTGGATAATCGCGCAGCTCCTGCCAGCGGTCTGCGCGGCAAACGGTCGGTCTGCGACTTGTCGCTGCTATTTCTTCGCGGGCGACGTGCATGAGACGCGCGTTGTCGACGACTCTGACGATGCTGCGCGCACGATTCTTTCATCGGATCGCCATCTCGACCGGCGCGCCCAGCAGCGCGGGATCTACTTCTCCGGAGTGGAGTCGACGAGGTTTGCCAGAGCGGCCGTCCAGGTGTTCTCGGAGAGCCTCCTCTTACCTGGTATGGCACTGCCTGTGGCCCCCTTTCTTGGGGCTCTGTTTGCCCTCAGTGGTTCGCGGGCCCCTGGGGCGGGGGCGAGGCGCCCTGCTATGTCAAGGGGAAGGGCTCATGCGAAGCGTTTCTGGACCCAGTGTTCCTCGTGGGGGCCGAAGAAGACAACGCTTCGGAGTAATGTGATCGGCGCGGCCCTGTCGGGCCTCGCTGCTCCGGCCCTCTCGGGGTCCCAGGAGGCCCGCCTGGAGTCGGCGTGCCTAGTGCATCTGAAGGCGCTGCCTGGAGGCGCCGCCCGGGGGGCCCCCGGCGCTGCGGGGGGCGGACGGGAGATGGCCATCGCGCGCGCCGCCTGCGGACCGGATGCGGAGACATGCAGGGATTGCACCGTCGCCAGGTGAGCCGCGCGCGCGGCGGCTGAAAGAGCGGCAGAAAATCGCTGGATCACCAGTCCATCATGAATGGCAACTCGCGCGGCTGTGTCCGGAGAGCTCGAGCGCGAGGAGGAGGCCCAGTCGGGCTTCGATTGGTTTCCAAACTCCCTGATGCGCCGCCATGGGACTTCTCGCAGTGACCCGCGGGCCCAGCATCTCTTCTGCGACGCGGAGCGCATGGGGATCGGGGATCGCGGAGGAGCGGGGGGCGGTGTTGGAGGCCGCGGAGGGGGGCTTTTGGAACGCGTTTAGGGGCGACACCTTCTGGCCCGAGGCTTTCAGAACATCGACATGCAGCTGTTTAGGGCTGAGTGGCCCCCGGGCCAAGCGCCGCAGAGGCCCCCAATCCCGTGCCCGATTAGCCGGCAGAGTGTGATTTCTGCTGTGGGTCGCGGAACAGTGAGGATGTGCTATGCGAGCGTCGCTTCCGCGCTCGTCATGCTTTGCTCGTGCATCAGCGCCAGGCCACTGGTGGCCAACATGGTCTTCCCTCGGTCGTTG